CATGTATGCAGTATATCTAGAATTGGATTAAGAGGCAGCTTCATCAAAAGCAACTGCTAGCAAAAAGAGGGAGAATTTTTCCAAGTCACTGTAAGATTCAAGCGCAGGAGAAATACGGTATGTGGTTTATAATGATGAGTGGTAATTAAGCAGTCAAGTGATGACATACTGAGTTCTTTGTTATTGGAGTCTTTAAACTAACTCGACTCTGGAATACCTTTCTACCTATACATACACCTATACTTGGCCATCAGGTAGTCAGGTTAGTGGTTATAATAATCTGTCCCAGCTCTCAAGTTTCTGGATCCAAAGAAAAACCTTGTTTTTGTAGATTCGGAGACCCTGTTATTCATCAGTGGTAACTTTGTCTTCCTAGGTTTGCTGCGTGATCACCTTGGCACCTACGATGTAGCATTCTACCTGGCCGGAGTCCCTCCCCTGATTGGCGGAGCTATATTATGCTTCATCCCCTGGGTGCACGAACGGCACAAGTTAAAAGAGAGAGCAAAACCTGTTGATGGAGAAACTACTGAGAAAATGCTGGAAAACGAAAGCCCTCTGGTGTTGGACACTACAGAAAAGCCAGTCAAAGAAATGGAATCTTCTTGCTGATGCTTTCTTTTCCTGTACCAGCCCGACCTCTTCCTGCTGAAGCTACATTTATACTTTTTGGCTGAAGATACTACATGATACTAAAGAAGTTTTGAACTATTGCTCAAATTGCAAACTTCTTATTGCTCTAAGAATATTTTATACCATTGAACTTATTTTGATGAGTTGTTAACTTTGATTTCATGCCACATTTTCAAGGTATTTGAAGTTTTGTAGCATTAGTGTGTACGTGAATAGTGATTCTGTGTATGAAGAGAGTATTTTTCTAATTCATCAGAACCTTTTTCTAGAAGCGTGAAAGCTGTTTTTGGTCCACTGCCCCAAGATTCTTCAGTAACTCTTATGGTCCATCCAAAGCAGGCACCCCCGTGGGTGGTTATACTGGAAAATGTAGTAGCTCTTATGACCGATCTGTTTTTTGAAGTTTCTGATGCTGCTTTAGTCTTTTACAATTCTATATCATGAACATGCATCTTTTTGATTCCCTTGACTGTTGCTGAAATAATTAGAAAACTACATTATTGAACATGTTTACTTTTCTCTAAATACCCCGGCCTCCTCAGTTTGCTGAAACATTCACCTGGTTTTGCATTGATTTGCCTTTTCATAGTAGCCCAAAGAATATTAAGGATGAAATTTTTGATGGGCATAGGTTTTGAGTATGTGCAAACTAAGCTCTGAGTGCAAACACATTCAGAAATAAAGCTGCTGAATGATAGATTTTTTTTTTTATTTGGTGAAGGCAATACTATTAATGTATTTTTTTAGCTAAATATCAGAATAGCTGGTAGTTTTGAAATTGTACTGACAGTAATACTTTGGAGCAGTATTGTGGATTAGACCAAATTTCAAATTACTATGTACTTGTTAGGTTTTTTTAATTTCTTAAAAACAAGACAGCTTTAAAGAATGCATTCTAAGTGCAATAGTAAGTTTTTAATGTGGAAATATACACGAGCTATTAAAATAACATTCAACAATTAAAGATTTTTGCACTAAGTGAACATGCAGGTTTATTACAAGTCTTTATAGCTGTGTTCGATTGTGTGTAGGATATAGCTCCATATTTTATTCAAATACAAAGAAATGTCTTTGCATGTCCTATTTCTTGCTTAACATACTAAAAATGGCCTAATTACTTACATATTCTTAAGTATTATGCACTGTTTGTCAAGCAGCTATTTCTGAAAACCTCTTTCTCTGAAAAATGTTTGAAACCATAATACTTTGAGATGAAAGCACTGCTTTTCAGTTTATCATAAAACACTTCCAGGTACATTGTTTATTTGTGGATATGGATCAGCAATACAGTGGAATACTTAATCTTTATTTCTGGTCCATTCAGTACTAATATGTGTCATAGCAAAGAGTAGAAAATACGATCTGAAGACAAAATGCACATTTAAGTTCATTTTCTTAGTTAGTAACAATACTTGTTCCTTACATAAACCAGAGAGGCTGTTTTAAAATTATAACCTCTACTGTCTTTTCTATTTTTTTATTTTTCTTTCTCCAGAGTTGTAACAAATTGCTCAGCAAGGCTATGCACACTTGTGATATATTGTTAGCAATACTATTGCTTAGAATGTTTACATCTATCAACTTAGAGAAGTCCTTTAAATATAATCATGCAAAGCATCCAAATTATTGGAGGCCAAAGCTCATAACTTTTTTATATTGCAGGATTTCAAACCGTGCTTTACATGAGTGGGATTGAAAAGAACTGAATCTTAAAATGTTAGAGGTGCATGGGAAGGACTCGGAGGTGGAAAAAACCCCAAACCAATCTGTAAAACAGAGGTCCCTTGAGGTTCACTGGGACCTGGGCTTCTGCACTCATAAGTGCTTCTAAAAATGTTATTAAAATGTTTGTAGTATTGTTAATTAAAATGACTACAAAGTGCTGCCTTCATTACAAAATGACGTTAACAGCTTATGCTGTTCTTGTCCGGAGTATTTCTGTCGAACATGTTATTCAGTATTATCTTCTATTTGGGCAATGTGAAAAGTGTTGAGTAAGTGTGATAAAAACCTCTTGTTTCCTATTGCTTTGTTATGAAAAACTAGTATGTGTCACAGGTCTTACATTTCATGTGTTTTAGCTTTGAGTTTTTAACCAAAAACAAGGCTGCTTTTTGGCACTGATGCAATTTGAAACCATTGTGACCAGACATCTTGATCTAATTGTGGCATCTTCCTGACTTGCTGCTCTGTATCTGTATAAGTTATCTAGGAGAGAATATAAAATAATTGTTGATAAGTTTTAGAAGTGATACAGAAATAGTATAACGATAACATGGATTAATTATTGCCATACCCTTTAAAAAGGTATTTGTACATAAAAATCCAAAGTCTCCTACTTGAGTAACTAAAAATGTAAATCATGTTCACAAATACGAAGGACGGCGTTTGAAAAAACAAAACCAACCCAACTAAAATTCAAACAAAACCACCAAAAAATGATGCAGAGACTCCTGAAAGAGGATGTGATGAGTGAATAACTGTTTAGCAGTGATTACTGCGCTCAAAAGAGCCAGTGAATGGGATGTAGGGTAGGAAGCTACGGTGATGTGATGATGTTGGAATAACAGACCTATTTCTGATGCCAGTGCTTGTTTTACAACAATGCTAAAATTGAGAAGGCTTCAGAAAAAAACCCAAAATTTCAGGAAAAAAAAATTAGTGCCTGAGAACTGTTAGCATCTTTACTGTTAGCTTCTATCTATGGGGAAACATCCAATAGAAAATGTTCCTTATTTTGGACATAAGCACAAGAAGATTGTCCTAAAGCAAGGTAAGATGAAGTTACAATGGAAGTGCAGATTGTTAGTGAGGAGGCTAAGTAACCATTGAGAAACTCAGAGATATACTGGATTCTGTGTGCCCTGAAGCTCTAAAAATGAGGTTAGCTGTCTCCCTTTAAAAACAAACCAACCCAAACAAACCAACACAAATAGCAACTGTTTAGTACACTTATGAAAAAATGATTGAATAATGTAAAGTGGTTGCTAATCCGAAAAGTAGGAGAATAAACCTCTGAATAGCCATTTGACTGAGTAAATAATAAATTTTTCTGATTATTTAACTTTAGGTGTGAAAACCTAGCTTGGAGAAGAGGAGGCTGAGGGGTGACCTCATTCATGTTTATTAATTTGTAAAGGGCGAGTGTCAGGAGGAAGGAGCCAGGCTCTTCTCAGTGACAGCCAATGACAGGACAAGGGGCAATGGGTGCAAGCTAGAGCATAGGAGGTTCAATCTGAATATGAGGACAAGCTTTTTTACTGTGAGGGTGACAGAGCACTGGAACAGGCTGCCCAGAGAGGTTGTGGAGTCTCCTTCTCTGGAGACATTCAAAACCCGCCTGGACACGGTTCCTGTGTGACCTGGTCTAGGTGATCCTGCTCTGGCAGGGG